AAATTACACTTGCGATGCATTTTACAACACGCATTAGAAATTCGCCCTTTTCAAATCCACCACACGAAAGAGCCGTCAGATTAGTGACATTTAACGTACGCACAATAGCGGGTGCATTGCCTTGTAAAGTTGTTTATTATTTTCCTGCAGTTTTAGTGCTGAACGAAGCAGCCATTTTCGCCGTTTTGTACCTGAATAAGGGTCGTAAAAATGTGGAAAAATCGAGAAAAATCTGAGGGGGACGACGATGCAGAAAAGATTGTGTTTTGTTATGGCTAGCTGCGCGTACGCTGAGTAGATAGCTATTTATGGGGATCTGAAACACATCTTCTGGAACTTGTTCCACTCAAATTGGTCAAGCCATCTCTGCGAAAATTGAGTGAGTCACACTCATATGAACTTACATACATATATACACACATACATACATATATACACACATACAAAAACATTTTCCGATCCCGTTGAGGTGAGTCTATTGCTATATGCCATTCGTCTCTCCGGGTCTTGGAACGAAATTGTGTTTTACAAGTGATATCAAGCCTTTCGGCACAGGAGTGGAACTTCGGATCAGAAAGTGGCTCCACTTGTCATTTGCAAACACTAGCGCACCTAGCGGTAGAAGGCATCTTCTGCCTGCAGTTAAGATAGGCAGCATTCTATGATAGTGTGAGTGCACATGGAAAGCCCGTGCGGAACGCTACCACAATACATCGCTTGTTGAGCAGAAAAACGAAGCACCTTTTGATTTACCGATTTGTTTGCACTTCCCCTTCTGTTCTGTGCTTTCGGTACAACTTGGTGTACACTCAGAATAGATAAAATCTCGGTATTAATAGTAATAATAGTAATATTCCTTTAATTTATTAAAATTTTCCAAATAAACTACATCAGCATTTTGTTTTATATTCGAAACGCAGCACAAATCTGGACGATCATGGAGATGGGCCTAGATGCTTTTCTCCCTTGATGAAGAAACTGCTGGACAGCTTGACATCATTCTGTTTAGTACGATGAAACAGTCAGTTTGTTTTTGTCAAACAGAATCAAATAATTTTGTACTTACATCTTGCCATATTCTTTAAAAAATACCGAAGCCCATTATTATGCTGCCATGATTTGCACCGCTCTGAGTGTACGTACCATTCTTTTGTTTACATGTGGACATCTCATGAGCTTTACGTGAAACGCACATATACTCAGTATTATGTGAAAATCACGTACATTTCATTGATTATGTAGGTGTGTCAAACAGGAACTCCCTGTGAAATTCAAAGGACATCACGTACATTCTACGTGAGCAACGTAAAACTGAGAGGAGAGGAAAAAGTGAGAACTTACGTGATTTTTCACGTAGCTTCAACGTGTAGATTATTTTGAGTGGACGAGAAAGGCATATATGCCAAGCAGCACTGTTTGTGAATTATTTTTCATCAGAGTAAACGGCAACCAGATTTTTTAGCGTTAGTATCGGATGACTTTCATTCAGAAGTGAAAAATGTCATGTCGATAACGGAGCTTCTGGGAGACAAAAACAATTATAGAACCTGAATTTTTTTCAAAAAAGTGCTTGGTATAACTTATAAATACCACAATGTACTAAATAAGGCGAAGTAATGTTTTACATCTACAATTACTAAAATATTGTCAGTAATGAATGCAATACTTGTAGTTCACTGGCTGTGGGAACAATCATGTTTATTTACTTTGCTTGCTTGGTACCCCGCTTGGCAGCTTCACTCTTGGCGGGACTCTTATTATAACATTGACTCTGTTGAGATCGACTCAAATTTAAGTTTCAATTACTCAAACTCTAGAAAACGTAGTTTACTTGTAGACCGAGTAAAATTTTCCAAGCCTCATAAATCTTTTCGAATATGACAAACATCGACGAAAAATCTACTCAATCTAGAAGTATACACTCAAAGAATAAATCACATATCCAATGGAAAATATTCATTAGAATTTCACATAACTTTCATGTGATATCATAATAGGGAATTGCACGACAGAATCACATGAACATTTTATGTCAAATAAAATTTAAGTGATTTATCATATAGAACTCATGAATGTTATGTGAAATTCAGATAGGTATCATTGGTTTTGTTAGTGGAAAATGTAATTTGCATTCCTGATAAAAACTATATGAAATTTAAAATTATATAAAAAAATATTATTTCCGTGTATTAATTTCATATGTAAATCGAGATGATGCTCTTATTACAAAACAAATTCCTGTAAAATCTCGTAAAGTTTTTCTCACTCTATGAGTTAACTACGTTTTCAAGAATATGAGCAGTGTTGGCAAAATCATCAATCAAATAATATTTTTCCGCTCTCATACGCTCTCAATATCACGCTTGATATTGGATCAAAATATCATGCTTGATATTGATTTTACAAGCTCCTTTGATATTGCGAGACTATTCACAGCATGCGAAAATCAAGCTGATAATTGACTCGGCACAAAAATGATTCCGTTGCACATAGTTTTCTTAGAAAGAGAAAACATAGTTTGCTATCTCTTTTTAATCTTCACCGATGGCAGACACGAAGGGACTGCTGCAAGCCGTTATAAAAGTTTCGGTTGCATTTGGGTGTAAAGCAAAAATCATTCAACTTAATCTCACCACAGTTTGGTGAGATTTGCAGTTGGTGAGTTTGGTTAGCTTAATATTCCGAGCTGCGATATCACAGCTTGCAAATCAAACGTAAATCTTTTTTTATTAATTACTTTTAACGTATACGGCGTAAATGGATGCATTCCCAACATCAATTAGGTTCAATTCGTTAAAAGCAGGTCTTTTGTACTCGAACATGACTTTTACTGACATTTCAAATTTTGCATCTATTTCATGACACCCTCCGCCACCCACTTCCCTCATCATACGCCAAACTTCTGCTTATTTTATGCAGCCCAATTACACATATTTTTGAAATTCACAGACATTTTTCGCAGACTTTTGAAAAAAAAATCTGGCACCTCTGTATCATAGCAACAGTTGCACATTCGTGTAAATTTCAATAGTGAGCTTTTGAAAATTGATAAAGTGTTCATTTTAGTAGATTCGTAGATGACATTGCAACCGATTGGCTTTTTTAGAATTAATATCCATCCGCTATTGACAGAGTTATAAGTGGTCAAATCCTGACCATTTTTCGTAACACGATCGATTTTGATTTTTTGAAATTGCACCCCCAATATGTTGCTGAAAGACGCAATCCTACGTCAAAAGCATATGCAACCTCCGCCGCCCTCTGGCAGGTTTTTGTGTTTATATATTTTTCGCTTCATTTTTAGAGTCGGTAAAGTAGAAGGCGATAAAGTAGAATTTTGTAAAACATTGAAGTGTAATGTGGAATGCTATTGATATCACCATGTGAGGCACAATTCGAATCAATAGTGCTCAGACATGGTTAATAGCATAAGATTCCCGCACGAAGTAGAAGTATTTCACAATAAGTGCAAAATGAAGTGTGGCACACCTGATGATGACTTGCGAAATTTTTTGAGTGTACCCACTACCAGCCCTGTAGTAAGAGCAGTCCCTAAGATTATGATAACCTTTTTACAGCCTTCTATGGAGCGCTTAAAAACAGCTTAATCTCGTTATACGCCAAATAAATTATAATTTTAAGAACTAGAACGCTCAAGTCATTAACGATTTCAACTTTGTGAGGCAATTAAAAGATGGCACGAAAGGATTTTATCGTTCCTGCGTACCGCCACAACCTTTGGGATTTCACCTTCGTGACAACTTAGCAACTTAGCTCTTAACCGCTTCGAATAACCGGCTAATGTGTGTACTTGCCAAGCGCCAAAGCGGGTCAATCACCTTGGTCTCTTCTCGACTTGCTGTATTTGCCAAAGCAGAGCCACATGCGCCGATCACTTGATCGATTGCCAACTTTTGCTTTCTTGTCTTGCGATGTCTTCTGCGATCATCTCCGTCTTGACTTCGTTGGCTGCAAACCAACGGGGTAAATGCACTATAATTTCGGGTGGCGGTCACTCGAATTATCGCTTTTCGTCATAGATGATAGCCAACTGTTTGTTAAGGTTTACAATACACCGAATCGAATCAGCTGGTTTTGTTGGATGCAATACCGTGTTGCGGTGTGTGGGTAGGCAGGTGCACGCGAAATCGAAAGTGAAAGAGAGCGTCCAAAAGTGGGTCAATCGCGTATTTTCATATTGCCGTGCGTCTCGCCGCAGTCAGGAGGGGAGGCACAAGCACAATACAAGAAGAAAGAGAACTTGGCCGACTGTGAGCTTGCCTACGTGCCTCAGATGTGGCGGCGGGCTAGAGGGCGGGAATCAAGCCAGCGAAGCGAGGAAAGTATGTACATATTGCTTGCGATGAGGTAATTTGGCGTGTGTGCGGTCAAGGATTTTGGCAGTTGCATTGTTTATGATCGTGACGGGTGAAGTGTTTAGTAATTTGTTGAGTGATGGAGCACAAGCGCTGACGAATTACAATACCGTTCACGCGGTGGGTTGAGTGCAAACGTGGCCTGATTGCTGCACTGCTTCGTCACAAACTCGGTGGAGAGCTGCAGAAAGGTGTTTCACCCGAGCTTGGGTTAGATAACATCAGAAATGCATCGTTAAAAAAGGTAAGCACGCGCGCTGTTGAGACCGATGCAGATCGTTTAACATTGAGCCCGATACGGTGGGCGTGGGATGACGGCAGCTGCGGTAGCCGGATTACACAGGCGGTGATGATATAAACTTGTTTACGTTTCGCAAGTGGCACGAGGTCAGTTTTTGTTGACAGTGCTTAGCCACGCGCTTGGGCAAGCATAAATAAGCTACTAGGTTAGTGGAGAAAAATTTCCCATGAGCAAATCATCGTCGCCAAATTTGAGCTTCACAACCACTTGAGCGAACGCCTTGACCCAAATGCCGCATGTTTAACCCACAGATATGCTAATTTACCATCAATAGAACACGTTAACGAGCCATGAAGCTCAACCCACTACGTATAGATACTCACTTGGATTAACGGAGTACGCGAGTTTCTTGGCAAAGTTGGCTAATCTCACGGATAGAATAATAACTGGAAATCCAATCAGCTGCACCGGTAACTCGAACAGCGGCTCCTGGGCTTGTACAAAAGTTCCACTATAACTTGTGGTGGACAGAAGTGCCACCAGAAAAAGGTACACGGCAGGTATGACGTTCAACAGCTTCATTGTATCGCGCACAATTTTCTTCTGATATCACTTTCACTTCTAGAGAGCCAGAACTACTGATCTGCTGAGTACTCGTACGGTTTTCTGCTAGAGCTACTAGCACGCGTTCGATTGGGTCTACTGGCTATCACTGATCGCACCACTCGGGAACGAAACTAGTTTATCCTAAAAACAATCCACCAGCCAAGCCTCTCCCTCTAGTAGACGGCTCACTCCAAAGGGGTAGGGTACTGCTGCTGCTGCTGCTGCTGCTGCTGCGTGAGCTTGTTCAATTTCAATGTCCCATTCGGTGATTGAGCAATTGCTGAATTATTATTCGCGCGTCTCCTTGAAAACGCTTCCCTTACATAACATTCGGCCTGATCGACTTGGGAGCGATTATTGATATCGTCGTTTTTGATCGCAGGGGTGGGGGCGTCGCGACGACCGAAAATGCGCTGTTCGTTGACCGAATGCTGGATCGAGACTGAGCGGTCCGCGTGGAAACCAAACTCCGCTGGTCCCGCCGTCGCCGCCGTCGCCGAAGTGCACTTGCTGCTTATGTCTTGTCGCCCGGTGTGGCCTGCAGGCCCGAATATAGAAGCAGCGTAGGTATGCTTCGGTGATGACGATGACGACGACGACGGCGGCAGAAGCGTTGGGGTTTCTTGCTTCACTCTCGGGCAGGTCTTTCTGTTTTGCGGTCTCCACTCTCCAAGGGATGGCAATTTCTATATTGTTCGGTTGCATTCGGTGAGCGCAATGACAACTTGTAGGTAGGTACTTGTAGCATGCTTGCCTAGTGCTCGCAGAACATAAGCTGGATGAATATTGTTGTTTTGAGTGCAGATTGCATGTACATGCTTTTTTTTTGTGCATGGCAGGGTCTTAGCGGGAGGGGGTCACTACTTAAAGAGGAACTCGAAAAAAAAATTCTTTGTTTTTGCTAAAATGCTCCAACTGAGTATTCTTTGAGTATTTTCATTATGTCAGTTTTCAACCATATTGTCAATAAACGATGGCGTGCTTAAGAAAGTTTATCGTAAATAACTGGTTCAAAAATTTCTGAAATAATAGACTTCGGAAATTTTGAATTATAAATGGGGCCTCATAGCCTAGTCAGTAAAGGCACGGCCAAGCCGGAGGCGGTGGGTTCCATTCCCGGTCCGGTCGAGGGAATCTTCGGGGTTGGAAATTTTCTCGACTTCCCTGGGCATAGAGTATCATTGTGCTTGCCACACAATATACAAATTCATGCATTCGAAAGCTCTCAATTAGTAACTGTGGAAGTGCATTTAGAACACTAAGTTGAGAGCACGCAATAAGCTAATATGCGCTAAGCAATAAGCTTGGAATGCGTATAAGAAGAAGTAAGAACATGCCAAACTTGTTCAGTTATTTGATGCTCCTGAATCCATGCATTAACAATGTGATGAAACAATTTAATATTCTAGGGTGGTTCTAAAAACTGTATTAATGATTTTTATTGTTAATATCATGTTAAGTAGCACACACTACAAAAAAAGTCATGTTAATTTCCGTGCCCTGAGACCGACGCATGCAAGCGGCCCAAATGACATAAGAATCCGTTGAAAGAAACGAGAAAATCAATTCAATAAAGCGTAGTTTTCGTCGAGCTGCGTATGTTTCGGTTTGAGAACACTTAATTTTACTTGACATGTTTGTTAACGTTCCATAATTTACGTCAAAGATGGATTACGTCTCGTGTAAAAATAGTTATTTCTAAGTGTGATACAATATTGGAATCCTTTTCTGGGTTGTTGTCTGAGTTTGTTTTAGTGTCCATAAACATTTTTATCACTCTAAACAAGCTCTACATGGATAAAATCGATACCCTAGGGTGGCTCCTAAATATAACCGAAAAAATCGATCTTCATAAAAATAATGAATTTTAACATACAAGCACATACTTGAGCAAAATGTGGTCCAAATATTAAAAAAAGGTAATGAGAATCCCGTTCAGATAGTACACACTCCATTTTGACACAGTTGGGTGCATTGTAGGTATAGATGTGTAAATCATTGTTAAGTACTGATTTATAATATAGTAGCTTAAGTAAATAAAGCTTATAACTAATTTAAGGTCATTTTATTGCATAAAGAGTTAGTTTTCATCGTTAAGGATGAGAAACAATTATGAAATTGAAATTAAATAGTAAGATTTATTGCTCTTTTGGAAGATCAATGTTACATGCCTTGGTGAAAAATTTACAGGTTTTCATCGAATTTTCATCTTTACCACTGGCACAACATTCAATTGAATGTGAAATTTTGCATTTAGGCACAGACAAACAGACATAACTCTCATCATCACATTCTTCGCAAATAAGGTTTTATTTGGGAATGTGCTTGCATTTATCATGTTGGCGCCACTGAAGCGTTAAGCAGGCCTCTACATTTACATTACAACTTATCAGTGATGCCAGTTCTTTTTCAATTCAATTTAGTATATTTCAGCTCTTGATAATGATAAGGGGACCAAGGCATCCTATTGGAGACATGGGCATTACTGTACCACATACTAATCTGACGAATACATAAAAAAGGTTGTTGAATATTACACCCAAACATACGATGTACACAGAATTTGTGAACAAATCATTTTAATGAGTGCAATATTGTGTACACTTTTAGTAACTGCCCTAATAAAAATAACCATAAAAGAGAGCGTGGTATCATCCAAACCATTTGTGGGATAGTTTACCCATCCGGGATACAATTCGTTTATGGTATTTGTTTATTAGGGTGGTGTTCAATACACCATGAGTAACATTGATTGATACATATTGTTTGCTATGTTCACATTGAATTGATGGACGGTGGTAGAAAGAGCACTCTTTAGAGTTACATTACCATGTTTAAAAACTTGTTTCCAGCAAAAAAAAAATCCCACTTCACAATCAGCACAAATCCCTAAAAGCTGCCGGAGACGAACCAGCGCAGGGCTGAAAGTTTTCTTAATAAAGATATAAAACAAAATCCCTAAAAATGACCGAGCTTCTGTGAATTTCTCCTATGGATTCGTATTTCAGCAAAATTCAAGCAATTCTATAGATCTACGGAAGATTTCGTAGAACCGACTGACTTCCATCTGTTTTGTTTTCATTCAACACAGCTGACGCGTTGACAGAACGAGAGAAAAGCAACTAGTGGAAAAATTGGATGAACGAGGGATGCTCCGGTTGCAAAACAATGCTTCGCAATATGCATGATAGAGGGTGCTAGTCTACATGCAAAATACGCTTGACGATATTTTTGGAAGAATTTTCTTCTAAAAGTTATGTCAGTTTGCCTGTGATTTAGGGTTAAAGCGAAGACTACAAATCAAGAAGACTGACAACTCTCTGCCAAAAATCAGGAGACAGTAACGGCAACGCCTCTTCTGAGCAAAAGGAACCTATGTATAATTGTGTGTGTTAATTCACGAGTTTGCATTCACACACATAGGTAGAAATGAATAGCTGTCAATTATTGGTTTTGTTATGATTGTCGTAAAAAGTGAAAAGTTTCTTTCTTTGCTCTATGTTGACAACGAGTAAAATTCCAGGTGAAATAGAACAGATGCGCAAGTAAATTTGTTTTGAAAATTAAAACTATGGCAACGATGCCATTCACAATGATTGTGGGACCTTCCTGGATCATTAATTTGCTATCTCAGAATTATCTTCCACTTTTCCTAAGCTCTTTAGTGATGCATTTATGGACATGCGTATGGTGAATTAGTAAAATGCATGCCCGTTCCCTTTGGTACCTGGATACAGTGGGGGAAGTTAAGTTGTGACGCTCGGCAACTTGGCACAGTACTCGCTGACCATTTGAATGTCACTGGCCAATTCGACACTGTTGTTATCATTCTCTGGAAGTGGTCGATGATTCCAAGAATTGTTAAAGCATACAGAGGTTCACTATCCGGTTCTTTATTAATAGGTACCGTTTGGGATTGTTGTACTTCAACCCTTCATTTTCATTTTCTCCAACATTATATCCTGCTACGCCTTCCGTTGGATCGTGATATGATCTTTCTTCTTTTTGAATCCTTGAATTTTCAGCAGCTTCCGAATAATGGTACTTCACTTAATGGTGGTGGAAGCTGCCAATTCCTTGTAATTGATTGCTTCCAACAGGCAAAATAAACAATATTTCGGTTCCTCGTTCACAAGTAGAAGTTATTTTCACAAGGTATCGATCCGAGTTTGAATCCTCTACTTGATCCACCATGACAAGTTTTTCAGTTTGGAGTTGGAAAACCACCGGCTTGCTGGGATAAGGATACAAACACTTGTGCTTCAAAGTTCGACCTTTGATTGACAGAGGCGCTGTTATCAGTGATGTTTGACATTTGTATGGGAGAAGGGAACAGCTGCCAGTCTTCTTGATTTTTAGTCTTCGGTTAAAGTCTATCTGAGAATGTGTCAAAAACATTTGAAAAATATTAATTCATGAAACAAAAAATCAATTACGACCGGCTTTGTCCCACTATATGGAGTGGTTCACTATAATTTCAAATACCTCTGAACATACACACAAGGAGGTTATTCCACGGTAATTGCTGACGCGTCTCGTTTATCCCTCTTTTTGAACACTGGAAACAAGAATGATGATTTCCAATTCGAGGAAAACAGTTTTTGTTTAAACGAAAGGTTGACATAGCGCAAAAGTGCATCTTTTCAGCATCGCTGAAGGAATTCCGTCAGAGGTCCAACAGATGTGGAAATTGTCGAAATCTAAGACATCCTGTGGAGTATCTCAAACTACCTGTTCTACTTGAGCAGACTGCGCAGCGAAATTTTTGAAGACCATTTTAAATTGTGATGCAACGAGTTCACCAGCAGCTGAGTCAGCAGAGAGATTTGCTAGATACATTGATGAGGAAAGATTTTAGATTTGACAAACAACCAAAATTGCTTCGGGTTGGTACGTAGGTTGCGCTGCATTCGAATTATGTATTGAGCGTACAAGAAACGGTTGTGGTTCCTGTATGCTCTGCTTGCACGATTGTACTGTAGTTTTATAAGAGCAACGAATGACTGCTGCAATATTTTCGAAGACCCGAACAACGGTGGCGTTTAAGCATTTGCAAGCGATTGGTTGACCGGGGTGGTTTCTGGGCAGTTCATGCAAGAGTTACATGTTCAGCGATAATACTGCTTACAGCGTTCGGGAATAAATCCACAGCATCATTCTAGTTCTGGAATGAATTAAGGTAACTCCAGCCGATAGCAAGTGGAGCTTGATTCATCGCAGCAAAATCAGCCTTTCGGAAATTGAAATTGGTGTTATCATGCACCGCCTCCATGAGGAATGATCTATCATCCATTCCAAGAAGAAAAAGGTCCTTTCTATTGTGATAACAACTTCCAATTTCCATGCTCTTCATACGGAATTTTTGAACTTCGTTAAATTAAAGTTTTCACTTCAAATTGGCTGTGTATTGGCTGACAC